TGCGACACATCATGAAAAAGAGGTGAGTTCAATCTGAAAGGGTCAGAATATGATGCAGGCGACTGGATCAGAAACACGTGTAATGACGCCTTCTTTTCTTCTAACATCTTCCTATAGCGCCTGAATCAGCTCAACTCCTGATCCTCTTCCTGTTTTGTAGAGTTTGAATAATCCGTCTTTATTTAAACATGTGAATCATCTGTCAAATATCTAGATTAATCAAAATTTCTTTATTTGTAAATGATATTTTAAAATAGACAACCAGTAATTTTCTGATTTAGTTTTCAACGATATTCAAGTTGCTGCTTTTATTTGTTTCTAAAAGATAAGTATGTACACAAAGAAAATGTTGATTGTGTTTTTATGAATATCTCTTGTTTTTCTGTTAATCTTGGCTAATGTTTGGGACTTTTTGCAGTAATGAGGCCGTTGTTCCGGTCTGTCATGGTAAAAACAGAGCTGCGATGAAAATTTTTATAGATCCTGATGTGGAATTGTAGTTTGAGATCATGTTTCAGTTTTTGGTTTCATCTTTGTATCACAACCAACTTTCCCCAGATCTCCTGTCCTGGCTCCAGCTCCTAACACACCTGCTCTTCATCAGCTCATCGGCCCCAGCTGAACTCGGTTATCACCTCAGTTCATGTGGTTTATTTTGCTCCCTCACCTTCTCCCAGTTGTTTAGGTTTTTTTAATCTCTATTTGATTTTCTAGTCATTATTTTACTGACAGTTCAGATGTTTATTCTCACACTTTGAATCCAGTTCCTGGTCTGGTTGTCTGAAGGTTGGGTCTTCAACACATCAATCAAGACAAAAGTTCTCAATTCACTGCTCCGTTTATGTTAACAACCCCTTTATGGTCACAGGACGTGGCTCAAAGAGCACGATCCTGAATACAAGTATTTAAAATGAGCTTACTCTGCACAAAGCTGAGGATACGATACACATTTCTTTGCCAGCTTTCCAGTTAAGTCTCCACTAATATTAGAGACAGTCATTATGGGTAGTCTGCAAACCAAACCTGGGTAACATGCCTAACTCAACCTCTGTTGCATTCAGTATGTCTGACAAGAGTTATGCTCTCAGATTTAAAAAACAACAGTTGAACGTCGGAGAAGTCGACAAAAATCAATTAAACTTTCACTAAACTGCAGAATAAATATAAAACCACTACAACGTGTTTTAGTTTATCCCCTTTAACAAGAGCTGAAGAGATCAAAACTTTTTTTTCTATTCTGAATGCCAACTTGTTTTAATTTGTGTTTAGCAAGAAAAAGTATCCTGATAATCTCAAATGGTTTAAATAATCAAAATATCCTGATAATCTCAAAATTGTGGTTTAAATTATCAAAA